TTGTTCCTATATAGTAAATTATTAGGGTTAAAATACAGTGTTTACACGAAAGTCTTTGAATGTCGTTTAAACATAACACTAATTATTTCAAAGAAGCGTTTATGTCAAATAACTTTTTCTTTACAAAACATTTAGTTCCATTGGAAGAATGGTTATATTTATAACAAGCTGATTCTTGGGGCTTTAAGGTGTTTATTTGAAAGTTTATTGAACAAACAAATCAAAGAGAATGAAATATAATAATAGTAAAAACATTCTTGAAGAGACATCTGGTTCCTGCCAGTCAAAACGTTTGATGTGACTAATATAAAGACATAGACAGGTATATATATATATATATATATATATATATATATATATATATATATATATATATATATATATATATATATATATATATATATATATATATATATATATAAGAGAGAGAGAGAGAGAGAGAGAGAGAGAGAGAGAGAGAGAGAGAGAGAGAGAGAGAGAGAGAGAGAGAGAGAGAGAGAGAGAGAGAGAGAGAGAATATAAACTGGTGCATGCCGGCAAAGCAATGGATGCCGTTTAACCGCAGACCTGGTTTCTAATTTCCGTCAAGAGTACGAATTAAAAATTCTCTAATCTGTATGATAACATTAGTCGTATTACATATTAATTTTGCCTAATATTATCATGTATTCTCACGTAAAATTCAGGTATAGCTCTTTCCGTTCTGATTGGTGTATCTTTGTAATTTTCTCTCTCTTTCTCTCTCTCTCTCTCTCTCACACACACACACACACACACACACACATACACACACACGTAATGTCTGCTATTGACGTGATAAGGGGTGCTCAGCAGTTGTTATGCACTTTTGACACAGTGACATTTGTATGGTGAAGTTGTTTGCATTTAAAACATACACAGTGGAGAGAATGTTAGGCATACCTCTATGTTACTTTGATGTAATGTGGCTGACATTAATTTGGATATTGTGCTTATGGAAACTGTACATGATCTTAGCACACTGCTAAAAAAAAAAAATGATTGCTCCCTTGTGCTCCAAACATCAACCTGAATTTATCTAAAGTACACTATCCTTGGCACCTTTTAAAATAGGGATAATGAATTTTGCCCAACTAGACAAACTGTGGATTATAAGGGACGTAAACGTTTGCCTCCTTGATCAAATACAGGAGAATTAACACACTCTCACAGACCTTTCATGAGCATAATGTCATTAGGTCAGCTTATACACTTACATCTAAATATTCCATACACTCTTGCTCTCTAATAAAGGCTATTACAACAGAAAAATATCATGATTTCTGATACATAAAAGCAAACCCCTAATTATCTATATAGTAAACTATCAACGGTAACAATATTCCTACACATTTCCTATTTTACAAATTATAAAATAAACACACAAATATAAAAAATGCCTATATTATATTGCAATAGTCCAAAAATACCTAACTCTGCATAATTCACACTATATATTAAAATACAAACAAGTAAAAGTTCCAACGCTATTCACTATTAAATTCAGTTCTGCAACACGATTCAACATCGTAGCAGATTACACCATTCACTTAAATTTGATCATAACAGTTATATATATTAATCTTGAATATTACTAATTTGATGTACGCTATATTATGAAATATTGATAATTCGGCTATACATATGAGATTAAAGTTGCTCTAAATTAAATGCATATTATAACGCTAAAATCTTACACCTAGTTAGGTAAGTGAGACAGATTCGGATGAACATATTTTAAATCAGAAGCCTTTGTTCCAAATCTCGTCTGAAGTTCCTGGAACTCTCTTCCAGTCCTTTATAACGAGCGCACAACTTTGACACTCGGAGCGCAGTCTAGTGTCTCAACTTCCATATGAACCGCTCTCGCCAAGCGTCCAAACATGCACTGATTCTTTCATAATGAATGTAAGAGAATAAAGTCTGGCTACGTGAGAAACCCGCGCCAAACTTTGACTATCTTAGTTCTGATCGGATACCGGTGTTGTCTTTGAAAACTGTCAGGGGTAGTAGCAATGACATGTTATAATGTCATGCTTCCGGCCTCTATTCCCAAACTGACAGATGACATCACTGCTGATTGCAAAACCAACCGTGTTTCTCAGCGCCATGGCAAGGATCTCTTTGAAAAAAAAACCCTCGAAATTTAACCGTAACGCAATGCCTAAAGTAGTTTCTTTGATTCAGAATCAATCTAAGTAGTAATATTATATAACTCGTATATATATATATATATATATATATATATATATATATATATATATATATATATATTTTTATATATATATATATATATATGTATATATATATATATATATATATGTATATATTTATATATATATATATATATATATATATATATATATATATATATATATATATATATATATATATACACTTTGAATTACTAATTCTATCAGAAATTTGTTTTTAAACATGAGGCAGGAATTGTTAAACAAAATTCTCACACAACGTGGAATGATTGTACTACAACCCTCAGTATTAATTTTCACGGTATATCACGGTTCTTCCTATAGAGATGGCTATGGTTTGCATCTACTTACCTTTTATATTTCTAATATTGTCTTTTTATTTTATTTGATTTTAGTTCTTTAATTTAATCCAGTAACAATGAGTTACATACATTATAGACCATCGTATGGTCTCTTAAAGAAAATCCTAAATATAAAGAGAACACAAAGCACGGATCAATTGATGGGTCACATGACCAATGCTTTACGGAAGAAACATTATGCTGTTTTCTCACCTTTGACCTTGGCAGGGAGCATTCGCTCTTTAAGTTATACTATTTTAACTGGCATTTCTGTCTGTTCTTATATGTTTAAAATTTTGTGGTTTTTTAGCAGAAGATTAAATTTTTTGTCATTAATCGCCAATCAATTTTTTTTCTACATCTAGCTCTTTGTAAAATGAATCGAGATCTCTATGAGAAAGAATCGACTGAGGAGGTTGGTACCAGAAGAGACAGGAAATAAAACACTGTTTACATTACATCGACAACTGAAAGATAAATCACTTGGGTCATATTAGGAATGGTCAACCAGTGTAAATCTGGGACCTTCTCGTGATGATACCACCACCGTAACCTCTACCCCTGTGAATACTACAACTCTTATTACTATTTCTAATCGTGATACCTTTATTACTGCAGGGAAGTAAAGAGTATCAATGTAGACATGAATAAAGGCTTCTGATTTAAAATATGTTCATCTCTCTCTCTCTCTCTCTCTCTCTCTCTCTCTCTCTCTCTCTCTCTCTCTCTCTCTCTCTCTCTCTCTCTCTCTCTCTCCACGTAGCTTAAACTAATAAATATCAATTCTATATTTGCATCGCAAAGACATAATCACATTACTAATATATAAAATAAATTCAACCATGACCGTCGATGCTCTTCCAGGTTTCAGGTAAACAACCCGCTTAAAAATAGTATATTTTCTGAACCAGCGAAGTCAAGATTTCAGGCATTCGTTTTACTGAATAGTACACTTGTCTATTTCAATATGTAATGTTTTAGAAATTATATATAGTTATTTGTCTATGTATCACCATCCCACCTGAGGACAAATACGTCAAGAGTCCCTAAAGTGTATGTTGTTCGAAACGGGATATCCAGGTACCGTGGACAGAACTATTCAGCCAAAGACTGTTCCACAGTATACTATTACCATCTGCATCCTCTCGTCCCTTATAGAATATATCGCAACTTTAATGGAAGGTTAGTAAATAAATTGCTTTAAAAGAAAAACAGTCCTGGATTAATGTCGTCCAATTGCTTGTCATCAGCACTGAAATTATCAAAGACATTTTTCGAATGTGTTAGTCTGTTATGAATACTTTACAAATCAATTTAAACTGCAAACCTTGCGAAATGGGTTTATAAGCCTAGGCGACGTTTAGAGCTCATAAGCAACGTAACTATGTAATTGAAAGAGAGAATTCAAATTTAGTTATCATCCACAATTGATCTTGCTGAAAGCAGGGTTCGTGTTGTGTACGAGCTTGTTTTCACAATATTAATTATTTTATCGATTCAAGCTCCAGCTGTCCGCCGTACCTTTTTGAAATTGTAGCTATTGATCATTGTGGGAACTTACAACTAAACAGAATGATGCCGTCCAGCAGATCCTTCTATAGACTTGGTTACCAAGTCGTTTGGCTCATTTTAAAATACAAGATTAGACTTAATCTTGTTTTATGTTTTGTTGTGTTAATGAAATGTTCTAAAACAACAGAGCAAAATACTCGGTTTAGTACATTTTTATTGGTAACCCTGGACCTCTACTGAGTCCGAACTTAGTTGATTTCTTTACGTGTTACTTCAGAAGAGAAAGAGCGATGTTATGACCATAGTTCGTTTATTTACATGCTACTTCCGAAGAGAAAGATCGATGTTAGGATTGTACAAGTGAGTGAAATCAGAAGCAGAATACCAAACCAACCAAGTTGATAACAATGAAAATGTCTGCCTCTTTCAAGTTTATTTAACCTGTCTGCATCTGCATATATTCATATATTCAACCTTCACCAATGTGCTCTGATGCACATATTGTGGAATCAAGCATGTTGTGAATGAGTTGTAAGCATCGTGCAAACAATTAAAGTCCAACACCAAGTACACGCAGTAATGACTACGAATTATAGGACAATAGTGAAAATAGAACAACGGATTTAAATAAGGTGAATGTGTGTGTGTGTGTGTGTTGTGTGTGTGTGTGTTGTGTGTGTGTGTGATTTAGATTTTTAACGCAGCTTTAATAATTTTTCATTCATATCGCTACGCTGTCTGCAGTGTGACAGTTTTATAGTGATGTCTAGCACTGGGGCATCATGCCGCATACATGTGGCATGATGTCCCACCCAGTCACATTATCCTGACACTAGGCCGACCAGTCCTAACACTATCCTCTAAATGCTGAGCGCCAAGCGAAGCAGCTGTTAGTACCATTTTTTATTCTTTGGTATGACTCGGACAGGGAATGAACCCACAACCGCTCGCATCCGAGGCGGACGCTCTAACCACTTGGCCACCGGAACAGTGAATAAGGTGAATGTAAAGGACTGAATAATTGCACATTTTATTTCAGATTTTAATCTTGAAAAATACCCATTTGTCTCGGAAATTACAGGGTTTTCTTTCGTTGATGATTTCATATCCTTAGGATTAAAAGTTTATCTTCTATGAAATGTTTTTTTTTTCCATTTCCTGAAATGGGGCGTGTGTTTAATCCATTTCCTGAAATGGGGTGTGTGTTTATTCCATTTCCTGAAATGGGGCGTGTGTTTATTCCATTTCCTGAAATGGGGTGTGTGTTTGTTCCATTTCCTGAAATGGGGCGTGTGTTTATTCCATTTCCTGAAATGGGGTTTGTGTTTATTCCATTTCCTGAAATGGGGTGTGTGTTTATTCCATTTCCTGTACTGGGGTGAGTTTTCATTCCATTTCCTGACATGGGGCGTGCGTTTATTCCATTTCCTAAAATGGGGCGTGTGTTTATTCCATTTCCTGAAATGGGGTGTGTTTTTATTCCATTTCCTGAAATGGGGTGTGCGTTTATTCCATTTCCTGAAATGGGGTGTGTGTTTATTCCATTTCCTGAAAAGGGGCGTGAGTTTATTCCATTTCTTGAAATGGGGTGTGTGTTTATTCCATTTCTTGAAATGGGGGTGTGTGTTTATTCCATTTCCTAAAAAAAATGGCCCTGGGCTCCCTAATGTTCTAAGGCGTTAGCTGTTACAGATTTACTCACACATCCCATTACTCTCAGCTTGGGCTCTAGTATTGGTTGGGTCAATGTGGATATGTTAGAAAGTTCTTTCCAACTTAGATTGTTCCTCCCGGGATATACATGGAACCTTCTTTTATTAAATATCATGTCCGCCATCTACAGCCTATCATGTGCTGAAATGCTGCGTAAGATCACGCTTCATTTGATGAGACAATATTGGTCGTAAAGTTGCAATTATTGGTACCACATCTTTCAGTGAAAACATGGTAAATGTCATTTATAGTTTACCGTCTAGTAAGTCTCTTCTCCTCTGCTAAGTATGGTGGGATATTGTTATATGATCTTTTGTGTGTCACCATTGTTTTAATGGCATAGGAGTCAACTTTAACATTTTGAAGTTAGCTCCCTTCCTCTATGCAAACTCCTGCATCTTTCTCGTGCATTTATGTTAGAGTGTATAACTGAACCTGGAGAAACGTTCGTTAAAAATGACATACTTTGTTTATTGTGGTTGATTTATTTATGATTCCTTAATAATGAAAAGTACAATTTTATTCACAGGGTTTACCTACCACTTTTGCGATCCCCTCCTCTTCTGTGTCAGGATTGTTTTTAAAAATATTTTTATATCATTACCAATGTTATTAATATGGCGCCATCCAGAAATGAGTATTTAATATGTGCCAATATGGCGTAATGAAATCGGACTTTCCAAACATGAGCCCAACACAACCATTTTTCTTCATCGAGATTTGAATACAATAAAGAACATCAGTACAATATAGAACACCAAATATGTATTGCTTCACATGTTTTTACAAGAGACTTTTTACAAATATCTTTATGTAGTCTCCTCATTTTTAGCGTTTTCTTTGGGTTTTTACTACTGTTTTACAATAGAGTCTAGATTATTTTGTACATACGGAATTCTTTCATCTGAGAAGTTTAGGATTTTCTAAGTAGTTTAAAGTCTGCTTCCATCGATGACTAGGAATACTTCCGTGCAATGATGAATGTATGTATGAAGAAATCTCGGAGACTTGTTCTGAAAATAAAATAAGGTTTTAGATCCTAGACACTGGAAAATGAAAACAAATATGAACGAGGCAAACAGGGGGACTAAATACTGGTCAAAAGCAATTCACATTTGAAAATGATTTATCCTGTATCAAGTCACGTTTACAAAGTCATTTGCCATGGATATGTCACTGGCATATCCTTTTCGCACCAATTAGATAGGAAAACCATACTTTTACTTACTTTTGTTAGGTCTGTTTTGTTGTCTCAGCCCGGTTATCTCAGACATGGTGACCGTACTCAAATAACTATTCGTAGCAAGGATAAAGGGACGCAACCATTGTTGTCTTCTGCTTGGCTCGACGCAGTTCTTTGAAACTTAACCATCGATAATGTAAAAGTTTATCATCATGTTTTGGAGGCGGGAAACGAATAGCTTAAAAATGAAGATAAACATGAACGGCATATATTAGACCAAAAGAATGTGAACTAAAAGCTAGGGAACAATTAGTCGTTACGGTAGGTTAACAAAACTTGTACATGTTTACATATCTCATGCATACAGTACATTGTTTTTGACGGCGGAACTTTACAAAAGTTTTTCTTTTAAACATTAATTAGCAATTTGCCAGAATTCAATGAATCGTGAAACGGAATGTATTTCCTCTCTTCTAGATGACCAGGAAACAAATAATTTCATGGGGTTATATGGATCCATCAGCATCACACATAAAGTGATATGTCACACGTATAATATAACAAATATGAAGCTGTTCACACTGTAGGCGAAGTGTACCGACTATGTGATAATTTAACTGTGTCACACTATCTACTGTGAGTACATGGCTATATTTTCTGTCATCCAGCAAACACGTTCTTATATATTTTTGATCTATTTACACCTTTGCGTCACTTAACCCCTAATGAATGGGATGGGATGGGATGGTATGAGATCGGTCAGTTCATGGGAGGAAAAAATGTTTACACATCAATTATCATCATGTTCTTTTATCTAAACCAAAGTCTGCCTTATGAAATAAATTTAAAATACGCACGTATGGTCGTCGCTGCCGATATACTTTAGTTACTACTTGAGGCATACATGAAACTTTATTTCTTTAGAAATTTTTTTTTTAGAAAACTTTTGGAACTGTTATACATATGACATTATTGATCAAATTTGAGGGGAATTAGATTTGTCATTTTGAACTGGAGACCGCTATACAAAGGTGATATTTGTATATATTTAAAATCCGTATTTGTAAAACGTGAATTAGGTGGAAGTCGATGTCGTGGAAACATGCTCCTGGTCTTGTCAAATATCTGTCTGTCGAAAAAGAAATCTCAGGCGAAGGATGGACTATATTTGCTTTACTTCCACAAAGCAATTGCTTTTAAGGTCGCTGGTCAAACGTTTCCCGAGGCTTATAAATCCTCCACGTACGGTGGCGTATTTTGTCAACTTCTTCACCAAGGCTTTCACGAATGGACAAAGACATCATGGCAGACAATGTTACATGTTTCCATAGGCGACCCTTGAGTCATGTTTTTATGAATGATAGTCAGTGGTGAGCAATATGGTTACTCCGAGAGAGCCACTGGTAATTTGGCAGTAAAACTTAGATGTAGGTTATAAGGAAAGGCAAAGCTTCGAAAATGTCAGTAAGTTATTTGCTCGATTTTGCAGAATATTACAGCATCAATATTTATTGTATATTGTATGTATATTTAATTACTAGGATCCTTTAGAATGTAGAATTACCTTTGTAGTGTTTCATTTACATGATTATTTGAAAAATGGGTTTGGACCTATGTATAGAATTATTAGATGCGAGGCGGAATTGTGTAGATTGTTAACTAGTTGTCAGAATTAATTTTGTAATTCGCTTTTAGGTAACTTGGTAGTACACTAGTGTATTTATTAATGCATTATGTTAGAGTTTACACATGCTTGAATTGTGAACTTGGAATGGTTGATGTGTGTAAGATTAGTTACTTTAGACGTATGATTATATCAGAACATGAATATTTGAATTTGTGTGTACTTTGTACGAGTGTAAGGTAAATAGAGACGTCTAATTATTGTGATATTGCTTATTATATATTAGTTTAGGATTAATAATATGTACTAATGTGACATAATTTGTTGATGAATGTATACGAATTAACAGAAACCGTGCTGTATTATGACGTTATTTACCATACAAGAACGTATGGGCATATCGATGTGAATGAATGCGTGACTGAAGAAATTTAATAGCCATTATCTGATGATAGACTGTGTGCAGTGTGAGATGAGAGGTCTAAGGAAAACTATTGTACCGTTTTTTTTTTGTTTTCACGGAAAGTTTTTGAGATGACACAGAACTTCCGGCCAAAAGGTGGACAAGGAATTGAGACTAGTTAAACAGTCGAAGTCGACAGAAGTCAGTGGGTGGAGAGAAGGTGGTGGAGGAAAAGGAAGAGGAGGAGGAGGAGGAGGAGGAAAAGGAGTCTGGAAGAGAAGGAGAAGGAGTATAGATAAGTCGAGGAGGAATAGAAAGAATTTTGGAGAATGTCGGGGAGGAAGACGAGAATAAATTGTGAGACACAGGAGAGGAATACCACAGATGAGCAGAATACAAGGACAGGGTAAAGTCGATCTTACATTGCTAATCAAGTGCTGCAATATGCTATGAAAGGGTCTAGCGGAAGGAGTGTAGATGGAAATTTGAATCATTTGGCTATTGATTGGTTAATAAATTGTTATTCATTGAATTTCACCCTTTTTGTATATTTACCCATTTAACCGTTGGCATTGCTGACTGGGGGTTCGGAGCTGTGCATCTATGTTTAATTAGTTTAACTTTCAACCAAAATCGGGTTTTGGTTGGACTTAAATAAAATATTGGGATCACTCCACCTAACTCTAACCAACCACATAGAGAACCCTTGCAGTGGCGGTATCGTCCGGGATCAGAATTTGGCTTTAATATTATTTTACCACTTAAAGTATTAATTATTAGAAATTATTAGTGAACAGTTATGAGATATTTTCCATCCTGTGTGTTTTGAATTATTATGATTCCTAACTTGTGTACGTTATATTTTGATATTTGCATGTTTGGTAGATCTCAGTTACATGCAGTAGGCCTAATTGTGAAGCAAATATCGGGCAAAGTATTTTAACTGAGATGCTATTTTTGTCAACAGATAAATATTGTGTTAGGAACTTGCAATATCTGTCATTTGTTTAGTGAGTCGAGACAATGCATTACTTACTGTTAATATCATCATAAAATGGCTAGATAA